TAAAATTTTATTAAAAAATTTTAAAATTTAAAAAAGTTTGCAGGCAAATTTGGCTGCAAAACAATTTAAGAGATAATTTATTTTTTAATTATTTTTTTTTAATACTAATAAAATTATTATTATTATTTAACTTTAGATTTTGAAAATAAAATTAATTTACTTTCAAAAATTTTTTTTAAAGAGCAAAGAAGATTTAATAATTCAATAGAATTAGTTTCTAAAAAATTTTTAGAATTAATTTCAAAATCTCATTTTCAACTTGATAGATTTTTTGATGAAATTTTTAATGCTATAAGTCCAAAAAATAAAGATTATCAAACTAAAGAAAATGATAAAAAAGTTGCAAAACAAATTTGCAAATGAATTAAAAATAGAAATTGGTCTTTATTTATTGTCACAGCTGAAGCTAGAAACGGCTGAAGCTGGAAATGGCTAAAGCTAGAAATGGCTAAAGCTAGAAATTAGGAACCTTGATTTAAAAATAAAAACCTTACCAAAATTTACTTATACTCTTTTATTATTAAAACTACTACTAAACTCTAACCTAACTCTAAAAAAAAACCTCTAACAAAAGGCCCAAAAAAAATTTGTAAATTTCATATTAAAATAATTAAAATTTCTAGTATCAGCTTCAGCTATGATATTTATTAGCATCTGGATATAGTAGTTCTGAAATAGATATATTAGCAAATTTTGAAATTTCAGCATATTATAAAACAATTGATGATTACAAAAAAAAATAGCAAAAGAACATTCAGCAAAAATTTCTAATTATTTTACATTTTATTTAAGTAGTATTTTTATTATAATTTATTATATATATTTAAATTTATTATTAGAATTAAGCTCAAAATAACTGGTGGTAATGATCACCACCAGTTGTGTAACTATAAAATTTTTAATAAATTATTTATTTATTCACTTTTTCTTTTACTATTTATTTCAGTATTCGTTTTATATAAATTTATTATTTTTTTATTTCGGTATTTTAATGCTTTATTTATTCTTTTCTTCTTTTAATAGGTTAGAACACCAGGTTTCTTTGTCAGAAGGTCGTTTCGGGTTCTTTAATCGCAATGAGATTCAGAATGACTGCCAGGAACGTTCTTTTGTCAGATTTAGCATCGTGTTTATGTAAGTATTAACTGCTTTTTTAGGTATTGGGTGGTGTTACTGCATGTCACTTTTTTCAGATTCTTTAAAGTCATTTTGTGCCATTTTTTCAGGATTTTTAGAGTCGTCGCATATCGCTTTTTTTGGGTTCTTTAGAGTAGTCATGTGTCATTTTTTTCAGGTTCTTTTAGAGTTGTCACGTGTCGCTTTTTCAGGTTCTTTAGTCGTGTATCGCTTTTTCAAATTCTTTAAAGTTGTCGCTTGTCGCTTCTTTCAGATTCTTTAGAGTTATCATGCAAAATTGTTTTGGGTCCTTTAGAGTCGTCGCGTGTCGCTTTTTTTTCGGGTTCTCAGAATGACATACCAGGAATGTAATTTTGCATGTACAGCTGTGTCTTTCTTTCGTCAGTTTCATCATTGGGTTTATGTATGTACTAACTACTTTTTTCAGGTTCTTTAGTTGTCACGTGTCACTTTTTTCAGGTTCTTTTTTTAGAGTTGTCGTGTGTCACTTTTTTTGGGTTCTTTAGTTGGTGTCACTTTTTCAAGTTCTTGCTTTAGATTCTTTAGAGTTATTATGTGTCGTTGTTTCTGGTTCTTTAGAGTCTTCGTATGTCGCTTTTTCTGATTCTCAAAATGATATACTAGGAACTTTAGATTCTTTATTGAATTCATTGAAAATGATGCTTATAATTAGAACCAATAATTGTAGTAAGTATTAATACCGTGCAAAACTCATTCGAGAGTACAAGTGGGCATTATATTAGTAAAAGCACCGCAGGTAGTCAATTTATGAAAATGTACTATTTATTAAATTAACAGTTAAATAACTATTAATAAAGTGAATTGTTATATATTTTAAATAATACTGATATGTATAAATAAAAATTAAAAAATTTTTGATTATACAAAAGGTGGTAATAATCACCACTAGTTATAGTTAGAAATATTCTTATTATTAATAATTTAATATATAATTTTTAATTTATTAATTAAAAATTTATAATAATTTTTTTAATATATTGTATATAAATTTTTTTTTTATTTTTAAACTTCGGTGTATTTTGCCAGATATTTATTTTAGTAATTAATTTATATGTATAAATGATGCTAGCTAACTAATATAGATAGTAAATGATAAACTCTAAGCCTGTTGGCAAATAGTGTATGAGAACTATTTCTAAATGACAGGTGCTGGTACTGTAGAACTAATGATTACTGAAATACGTGACCCCACCTGGTTGCTTTACTAAGCTCTAGATATGATAGCCACACCACTTTTGTTGTGAAACTGCATCGAGCCTTGAAACTGGTGACTAACTTTTTGCTAGAGTACATGTCTCATCCATGTATTCACCTAGGCTTTGTAACCTACCACCACAGCTTGACCTATACACTTGGGGTTAGGGCTAACCATTGAACCCCTACCTAACTAGTACCAATTATATTGCTGTAACCAAGTTCGTATCTCAAGCCACCCCTAAGGGTGCTGCCGCAATCCAATCTGACAAGCCACAACCTTCCTAATTAAACCTGTTACCTACTTCTGCCCTTGTATAGGTTCACAACAACCCTGTTACCCATATTTAGACCATCTTCTTACCCGGATTCTTTATTGGTTCCTCCTTTACTTCTAGCCAGCAACTCGGAAAGGTTGGTCTGCCCACAGGCTTTAGGTGCCTGAAAGATGCCCTCTTCTTGATACATACTTTCAAAGCGTATGTTTTTTTTCTCTGGTGCGACAACTGGCAGTTCAGCTGGTGTGTTCTCCGCCAATAGAATCTGGTCACTCGGTTCTCTGATCTCAGACCCCAGTTCGAATTCAGCTCTCTTGTGATACCATCATAGATTACTGCTACTCCTAACTCAGAACTTCCCAAATGGGTTTGCAGTTATGCCAGTTTCTTGGATTTATTGCGCCATTTCTTTCATTACTAGATGGTGTAACCAAAGTTACAGATTAAATCCAACCGATAAGCATAGCTATTAACTGAACGCAAGCCTAATTTTTGAAAATCGTCATCTGTGAGATTCAAACTCTAGGCCTGCCACTTGGAGAGGGTGATGACTAGACCACTACACTAAGTCACTACACCTTAATATAAATATTTTTTATTTTAATTTATTAATTTAATTTATCTATTTATTTAGCAAAATGCTATGCATGTTTTTAATATTGATGATTATTATTCAATTTATTCTTATAAAAGATCAGATACAACATCATTATCAAATGTACATCATATAGCTACATGTGTAGCAAAAAGAATTGAAAATAGTATACCAATCTACATGTGTAGCAAAAAGAATTGAAAATAGTATACCAATTCTAGCAATATTTAATGATATTTTATTTTTTAATCCTCTTAATATTGATGCAAGCTTAATTAACAAATATTTACTTGAAAATATAATGAAAATTTTGATATAAGTTATAATGCTAGAAAATTTTATTGAACTAATCAAAATATTCAAAAATTTCAACATTTTGATCGAATAGAACTTCTTACAATTCATATTTATAATGATGCAATTTGTAAACAAAAAGATGAAAGATCAACAAAAAATATTCAAATTATTAATATTGAAGAATATAGATTAAAATCAACAACAGATTATATTAAAGCACTTTCAATAATAACACAAATACCATCATTATATAAATATTTAGATCAAAATATTTTACCAGTTGTAGCATATTGGCCAGGACAATTATATATTCGAAAAGCTATTACTTTATTACAAAAAGAATTAGATTTTCAAAAAAAAATAATCCAAATTATCGAATTACTATTTCAACAAATATTAAAAATTTTATTCCAATTTTAGGACCTTTACATGTTTCTTTAAATACAAGACAACATATTTTAATAGTTTATTATGAATTTTTTAACAAATTATATAAATTTGTTTTTAGATTAAAAAAAACAATTAGCTAATAATCCTCAACCTTATAAAATTAATCTTCGATTAGAATTAGCAAGTGAAAGTTAAAAAAAAATTCATAATATGGGGGTGAGTCAATAGAAATCAAGCAAATTTTTTATAATAAAATTTTTTTATAACTTTAAACAAGAATAACTTAATAAAAACTTGACCAAATTTAATAAAAATTTTTTTAAATAATTTTTATAAACTTATAGAATTAATTTTAAAAAAATTTTATTAAATTTGTCTAGTTTTTGTTAAGTTATTCTTGTTTAAAATTTTAAAAAACTTACTAAAAAAAATTTGCTTGGTTTCTATTGACTCAACCCCATATAATTATTTTAAAATTTCCAAAATTATGTAAAGATATAGAATATAGAATGCTTATTGATATTTTAGATAATTTAATTCTAGCAGCTTTGGATATATATGCTATTATTTTTAGATCTGTATCATTTAAAAAATATATAGAAACAATTTTTCGAATTTTGATATTTGCACTAAGATGAAATAGAAAAAATTATAACAAAGCACCTTTGGCATTTTTATCTGATTATTTTTATTAGAAAGATACAAATTATCTATTTAGTAAATCATTAGAATCTTATCTTGTAAATTTTAATAATTATTTTGTTGAAAATATTTATAGCAAAATTCGAGCAAATACAACTTCTAAGGATTCAGTAGATAATATACAAAAACAAACATTTAGATTAAATCATCATAATTATTCTTTTATAAATTTTTATAGAAATACAAGAAAATATCTATATTTATCTTCAATTTTAGATATATTAATTCAAAAAACATCAATTTTTTTATTAGAAAATTTCTATTCTATTTATAATAATATTTAAACAACTAAATTTTTTAAAAATAAGAACAAAAAATTTATATTATCAGCTCTTCAACTACCAGTAAATATTAGAAATCTTTCTGCTAGATATCATTTATCATTTCTATCTACATTAAATCAATGTGATGCTTGTAAAAAAAATCTTATTGAAACTATAGAAGGAAATAAAATTATTTTAATATGTGGACATGGATATCATTTAGATTGTTATAAAAAAAACTATAATAGATGTGAATATTGTTTACAATATTATAAAAAAGGAATTTTTGATAATGTAAAATCATTTGTAGAAAGATTAGAAAGTAATGATGATGATTTAAAAGAACTTATAAAAGATAATAATAATGATGATAATAAAAATAATGATAATAAAAATAATGAAACAAATGAAACACAATTTTTATTAGCACAAGATAGTATTAATTTATAATATTTAATAGCTGTTAATGATATACATAATTGGTAATAAATAAAAATTATTTTTATATAAAATTAAATACTATAAAATATTTATTTATTATATACAAAATTTTAATACTATTTTAATAACTTAGTTTTTGTTATATAAAACATATATATTTGTTTAATTATTTTTTTATAATATTTTTTTTTATATATTTTATAACTATTACAAAATTTAATAAACAAAAATAATAAAATCAAGTATTACAAAAAATTGCAAAATCTATAATAAAGATAACCTCCAAAATAATAACCAAATTAGAATTAAAATCAAAATATATATATATATATATATACAGTATATGAATGCCACTAAGTAGTGTTCCGAATCAAGCTAGCTTAATTAGGCTTTTAATTATATTTTGTACCAGACAAAATCTATTTAATTCTTAGGGGATATGTTCAGTACAAAATATAATTAAAAGCCCAATTACAGGTTTTTCCTTAGTAGCACTTATATAAAATTTTTAATTTAGAAAATAATTAATTTTAATACAACACATAATAAATAAATTAATCTAATATACAAATTTTAGTCTAAAACAACTTAATTTCAAATTTACACTTCAAATTTTACATACACAATATATAATACCTTCTACATATATTTAAAATCAACCCCAGTCTAGTTTTATAATTGCATTTAAGTATTATTATCATCAATCAGAAATAACAATTTTTTTATTATTATTTTTCTAATTTTTTATTTAATAATATAAAAGCTATTATATATTTTATATCATACTTAAATTTTGCTAATATACAAATTACCTTTTAATTTATTTCATTATTTGAATTTGAATTTATACTATTCCCTAGGCTTTTTTAAAATAATAAGCAGCAGATTATTTTTTGAATCAGAATCTATGCACTGTAGTTAATTTACTATAATATTAGGAGTTTCAGAAGTATATTCAGGTTATAATCATATATCACTTAGCTAATTCTATATAGTATTCAAGAGTCCTAAGAGAAATTCAGATCGTAATCATGCATAGCTTAGTTGATTCAATATGACTATAAAATTTTTGATAAATAAATTATTGGATCAAAAAGTTAGCTTTAGATAAAGAAAAAGATAATGCAATTATGAAATTATCAAAAATATACCCAATATGCATTCATGAGTCTCATATTAGTAACCAGTATTAAATCACCACCAAAAAAAATTCAGATTATATGATTTAATAATCGCAGTATATCAATTATATAAGTTATATAATACTTATTAATAAAAGTGAAAGTATATTTAATTTTTTGTATATGCGAATAATGTAAATTGTATGATCTGAAATTTTTTTGGGTAGTAATTTAACCCGGTTCATGAAAGCCTTTTCGGATTTTTTCATTTCATTATACTCTCTTGATCTAGATACAGCATGACTTCTTTCATCAGGTTTACGAATTTTTAATTTTGTATGAGTATGCTTATCAGTTTCTTGAATTTTTAATTTTGTTCATCAGCAAATTTATGAATTAAAGTATTTTAACTATGAAGTGCATTATTTACTATTTGTTTTTTGACTTATTGTAAAATCATATTAGATATAGATAACGTCTCAATAAGAAATATTATAACAAATAGTAAATGATACACTTCATAGTCAAAATACTCTAATTTTATAAATTTGCTACAATGAAAAGCAAATTCAAGTTATAATTATTTGTGTATACCTAATAAAGACTCAGATAGACAGTACACAAAGATTCTTTATTTTCTAACACTTTTGCCTTGCTTGCTATAATAGAATAATTATATTTTAGTTTACCGGACAAGGTATGAATATTAAAAATTCTATATTTAAAAAAGTAACTGACTAGAATTATATATATTAATAACTTTTAAAAATACCCAGAATTATCCGTCTTAGTTAACTTTCGACAAAGTATAAAGGCTTAATACTTATTCAGCCTAGAAAGACTTCTGTTTAATGTTTATTTAGTCCAAGAAGATCTCTACAAATAGAATAAACTTGTGGTAATTGTTTTCTATAATCGCTTATAACAAGCAAATTGAAAGTATAGTATGTACTTAACTAGGTAGAATTTTAACCAACATATGTTATTATAGTCTCCTGATCTTTCTGATATTATTAAGGCTGATAAAAACTTCACTTCTCATCTATTTTGCTGAACTTCCGTATCTTACCATATCTTTTGTTAAAAAACAGCAGCTTTAAAGGTAAAAAATTAGACATTTAGGTTTGTTATTTTGTCATGTATTACAAAAAAAATGTTTATAAAGCATGCCAATTTTTACTAATAAAAGTACTTTAAAAATTACAATTGATTGTATAAATAAATGATTGTTACCAATTATATTTATTCGAATTTTAGCCAATTAAAATGAACTTCTGCCATGCTAACACAACTCAATCACATAAATTAGCATTTTTCTTTAAGCAATATCCATAGATATTTTAATTCACATATTCAAAAAATTAATTATGCTTCACTTTTACTATTTTTATAACCATAAGCTACTTACTGTAAAGTATTTTATTACAGAATTTACTAATATAGTATACAGTGCACAAGTTGTGGTAAAATAACTTTATAGATCTTACTTTCTATTCTAGTGATCACATCAAAATAGTCAAAGTCAAGAATTTCTACCCTGGGTAATTATGTTAGAATTTACTTATATATAGTGTTTGAAGCTGTGTTAGATTTTGACAATTACAATATGCTATAAAAATTGAATTTGTATCAAATTTATAATTTTATATAATTAAGGCCAAGCTATTTTATATTGGAGTTATTATGTGATTAAGGTTGAGTTAGTTTGTATCAGAATGCTCTAATTCTATTTTTTTATAGAACTTGCTATTCTAACAACCACAATATATGTGGTTGCATCAGAATTATCTTAATTTCTGTACAATTAAGGTTTAGTACTGCTACAGTTTAAAGTTTAAACCCATGACAAACTTCATTTTGGCTGATGTTAAACCCATAATTTAGATAAGATTTGGTAGTACTAAAAGCTTGAATAATATAAACCATAAAAATATTACAAGGCTTCTAAGTGGTGGCTAAAGGCTTATATTTATAAATAAATTTTGGTAATTGGCAATTTTCATCTTAGATAGAAACAATAGATTGATGTCTAGATAGAATTGTAGTAAATATTTAACACACTATTATAGAACAATCATTGTGTACTTGGCTCGCAACTATTGTATACTTAGTTCCTGATATTATAAAAACAACCTGAAGACTTATTGATAGGATTAAAGATAATACAGTAGTTTTTAGTAAACTAAAAGGTATTTAAGGCTTGAGTTTTTGGTTTGGTAAAGTTTCTTAGACCATGTCTCAAAAAACTATATATTCAAGATCACATGGGGTCTTTGCTTTGAAATAACCTTACAGTATATAATATTGTAAGATCATTTTCAAGACAAAGACCCTACATGTCTTAAACTATGAGCCTCACCCTTTGATTTGGAGTTTACAATGTCTTAATTATATAGAGTTTATAATAAAAATCAGATTATCACATTGCTATATTTTTTTTTAAAAAAATTTGGCAGTCTTGTCTTTACCATTTATTAGATTTATACTAAGGTATTTTGGTTACAAATATTATGAGTACAATTACAACTATCTAGTATGTATAGTATTAGCTTACCCAGTTACTAACTTGAGTACCTATGTGCGACCTGCTATATGAGATTTTACCTCCTTATCAACCGTCCTGCAACAGGCCGGTTTCAAATTCACTAGATGGTTCCCAAATCTAAATCTATTTTTATCATATATATTCTGCTTATATACTACTATACAATGTTTACTAACTAACTTTCACTCTCATTACTTATCATATTACTCCTAATTCAGGTTTTGTATTACTTTCAAATTGGTGTCTTTCAAGTAGGCACTTTTTGTACTTCTAGTTTGGTGTCTCTGGAAAGCTATTTTAAGGGCCTAGCCCAGTGTCTGAAATTGGGTTGCGGAGTCTGCGGACCGCAACAAAATTTTAAATTCCCACAACCAAAATCTGAAGTGCACATGCAGATTCCGCATATAAATTTGCAAAATTTACCTATAAATTTCGACTAAATGGTCATGTGCGCAACTAAATTTTTATAAATTTTTATAATCTGCAAGTCGTTTCTTTTAATTGGTTGCAGTCCGCAACTAATTTAAAAATTGAATTTCAGACACTGGCCTAGCCATATCTCAACAGTTGCCTGTGCCAAACTAGGATGTTATTTCATATTGATTCAGGTATTCGCATTGTATACCACTAAATTATGCTATTGCTCCTTTTATAGTACTTCTTATCAGTATGGTATTACAGAAGCCTAGATCCTTAAAACAGAGTTATGTATCTCATTTAATCACTATTACAAGCCAGTGACCTAGGACCCATGCTTCTGCCATATTTTGTCATTAACTTCCATATAGGTTGTGCGACACATTACTTCCTGGCTGTCTTTATTTTTATATCACCAGATCGTTTGCTTCCATGCTTTTTGGGGTTTCTTTTAGCCAATTTTCCTTGTTTCTTTGTGCCAGAGGTGTTCTATATTTGGTAAAGCTATCCTCTTACCACAGCCCTTTACTATGTTCACTGCTTCTTTTACCACTTCTGAAAATACTGCATATAGCTATCCTCCCAATCAAAATCCCAATGCCACCTTAGAGTTGTTGGTGCTACCTTGCCAATCATGGATTCACATACACAGCCTTTTTGCAGTAAACATTTTATGACTATATTACACGCAGTACTTAGTCTTCTCCATGGCTCGAGGCTTCTTCCAAGAATTCTTTATAGGCCAAATATATATATCACATGGTCTTACCGCCACAGAGTTCCGCATTCGAAAGCTTCCGAAAGTTACAGAGATAATTAATTAAATTAATTACCACCAGCTGTAATCGAACCATCAACCTCGTCTGTAGAGGGTTAGGTGTCTAGACCACTATGCTACGAAACCCTAACTCTCACATTGCTCTATTTACATAGTATCAGATTATTTGTTTAATTTTATTTTTTTATTATTGTATTTATTTTCTTTATTGTTGTATTTGTATTTCATTATTTTATCATATTGCATCACTTATATTTTATTGTTATATAATAAATTACTCCCCAATAATTGAATTTGATCTATTAAGTAATAACCTGACTTAGTTTAAGAGTTTTATAACCTTATTTCACACATACAAGTGTTATAAATCCCAAACCTAGTTAACTATTAGAGCTAAATTGGATTAATATCCACAATTGCTCTTTCAACTGATAGTAATATTACTATTAATTTGGAAGAGCGGTTGAGTTAGTAGTTCGATTTAGCTCTAATAGTAAACTTAAAGAGCTTTTTATGTCTCCTTCTTCAAGCATTGGGCATATGAAATAAGTCACGATTTACGTAGATTTGGGTCGGGTCCTTACTAAATCGGTCTCGATTTGGGTTATGCACGTAATTTAAGAATATACTTAAAGGGTGAAATTGGGCTAATGTGAATGTTAAAGTAAATATGAAACAATGAAAAAGTTCTATACTAGGGAATCGAGTGGATAACCATATGATAATACATACTATCACTTGGGTTTAATAATAGTAGTTATCTTAAGATATTAGGCTAACAATTAGGTAGTATTTAAAATATTTCTAGGGTACTTCACAATATGAAAAAAATAAAAAAAAAAAATAAATAAGGTAAAAAAAAAAAAAAGGGTTCAACGTTCAATAGACTGTTTTTTTAATAAATATGAGAAGTTGATTTTTATTTCATTTCATTAAAGATATCGAAGTCTGAAAAAACTTTATTAAGAGCAAACTTAGTCTTTAAATACATTTTGAGGTCTATGTCTACTGCGCATTCTATCTAATATCCTCCTTTATCTCTTACTATGTTCTTTTGCGGCTTATCTGTATCCATACAATCCTTTACAATTTTGTCTACAATTTTGTCTACAACTTTGTTTACAATTTTGTCTACAATTTTGTCTACAATTTTGTTTACAATTTTGTTTACAATTTTGTTAGTTATGCTCATCAATCCTGATGACTCAGATTCGATAATAAATAAAATAATAATAATAATAATAATATAATGTAATAATAATAAACAAAAGAAAAATTTCTATCAAGCCCCATCTATATCACGAAACTTGTGACATACTCTCCTCCTTAATCTTGAGCTCTGGCGAGGATTGCTTCTAAGAACTTCGAAGATTCCTTTGCTCTAATTTCCCGAGCATTATTCAATAATGATTGGAAATCTTCTTTTGTCATTCTATAAAGGACATTAGCCATAATAGACTTATTTTTAAGGAGGTTCTGAAACCCTCTAATGTAATACAGTTGGTAGGTCCTAAGAGCAATCCTCCAAACTTCTTTTCCTTTGCTGCCCTCCATCCTACTTGAAAGTTCATCTTGAGCCACCACATTCCGAGCAGTTTCTTCTAAACTGCCAGAAATTTCTACGAAACATTCCTCTAAGTAATAATATTGCACTTCCCCAAGAGAATCTTTGAATAGATTTGATTAAGTCTTTCAGCTAGGGTTCCATCAGGAGCCGGGTCCGGGAGACGGTCAGGAACCTTTGTGCATTGCAAGTCACTTAAATAAGATTTTATAGCTCAAGTGAAAGGATTTGTTGTAACATCCTCCGAAAACCCGAGAGAAGCGAGTTTTCCTTGGGCATTGATAAAAAGTACTTTAGTGGTTGTAATATGGACTTCAACTACTTCGAAATCTTTAATCATACATTGTAGCTTCATAACTATAGATGCTGGTGAAATTGATTTCACTAATTTCACCAATTCACCACCAATTTCACCAATAGTGGTGAAATTATTTCACCACATTTCACCTTATTTCACCAGCATCTATATTCATAACATGGTCCAGGAGCTTAGTATTTACTTGTAATTGTTTCATTTTAAAAGATTTTTCTATATGAAGACTTGTTCCGACGAAAGCTACTAGTCAGGATATTTATAAGAGTTAGAATCCATAACTAAAAAGGCTTCGTTATAACATTTCAACCTGTTTCCATGAATGTGTTTCTTGAGAACTTTCTCACTTTTAAGGAGCTTTTTGTTTAAAATGGGCTTTATGGTTCTAAGCTTATAAGATCCATTTCCACATACATCATGGATATAGCAAGGTCCTGTGAATGACTGTGCTAATTTAGCACTATATGACATGTCTTGAGATGTTTCATGTAATATTACTTTATCTCCAATTTGGTAAGTTTCAATTTTGTATTTTTGATCGTAATAAGCCTTTTGTTTGTTTTGGGCTTTTGTAACATTTTTTTGGGCTTGGTTTCGGGTATCTTCTAGGTTTCCTAAAATAGAATTAATTCGCTAGCAGAGGTAGTCATGTAATTCGCTTTTGGTGGTTGGTTCAACTGGATACGTAGAGATTACTGTTTCTACGAGCAAAACAGCATCATGTTCGTACACTAAGAAAAACAGTTCATATCAGGTTGTATGATGCTAGATAGTCCTATATGTGAATAATGCCACTGGAATAAATTCGGCCCACTCACCAGGATATTGGCTTATGCACTTAGCCAGTACATTGCATAAGGTTCTGTTAAACCTTTCCACCAACCTGTTGGTTTGAGGATGGTATGCGGCAAACGTACGATAGCATACTCCCATCTTTTTACATAGTATATTCACTAATTTATTACAAAAGTGGGTTCCTTGGTCTGAGAGCAATTCATGAGGACTCAAGTGACAACAAAAAATATCGTCAAAAAGAAAGTAGGCTATAGCCTCTACATCAGCTTTTTTTTTTAGATCATGTGCCTCAGGCCACTTAGTGAGATAATCAGTAGCCACAACTATATAACGATATCTTTCTGGGGTTACCGGGAGTGGTTCTACTATATCAATACCCACTTGATCGAATGATCGTCCTACTTTAATTGGGTGGAGAGATCCTCGAGTTCTAGGTCTTCCTCTTCTTTGACATGTATCACAACATTTAACATATCTCTTCATATCATTTTTTATTTGTGGCCAATAGTACCTAACCATTAATCGTTGATAGGTCCCTTCCTATCCAAAATGCCCTGCTAATGGATCAGTATGCATAATATGTAGTATAGGTCCTACTTCATTTGGTCTTAACACTCTTAAAGGTCTTTTAGGATTTCGTGTGTTGGTTTTATATAATACGTTGTTATGAACTAAATAATATCAGGTTCTATGTTTTAAATTACTATTATTATAGTTAGGGGTATCTTAGACCTGCTAAGATATTCTAAAAAGATTTTATACATATCTAAATTCATAATGTCCATTAAATCAATTTTGGGGTTTCCGTTAGTGGCCTCAGTAATGGCAATACGAAAAATATATATATCTGTTGGGTAGGTTTTCTTAAATTCGAGATAGACTAATAACGTTAAGATGTAATTTTTCTGCCTTGTAAATGAATATTCCTGTAAGGTTAGGATCCACCTGGCCAGTCGATTTTGGGGTAACTGGTGTGAGAATAATGACTTTAAAGCAGAGTGATCAGTATAGAGGGTAAAATAGGACCCATGGAGATAGGGTCTAAAGTATGAAACTGCCCATACTACTGCAAGACATTCTTTTTCGGTGACGGTATAATTTTTTTCAGCAGGAGTTAGGGAGCAACTTGCATACACTACCACTCTTTCCTTATCCTCTGTATTTAGCTGAGTAGAATAGCCTCTAAGGCTATATCGAAGGTATCTGTAAAAAGAATAAATAGTTTTGTGAAATCTGGGTATGCAAGAATAGGGGCAGTTATCAACTTCTCCTTAAGCTCCTTGAAAGCTTCTTGTTATAAGGTAGTCTACCGATAGAGTACATTCTTCTTTAGTAGAGCATTTAAAGGTCCTGCTATGTTTGTGAAACCAGAAATGAACCACTAGTAGTATGACACTAAATCTAAGAATTCCCTAAGCTATCTCAAATTCTTGGGAATTGGAAATTTTTGGACTACTTGAACTTTATCAGAGTCAGTAGAAATTCCTTGGGCACTGACTATATATCCTAAAAACTTAAGTTTCTTTCTACAAAAGAAACATTTTTGAGGCTTCATTTTCAATTTGGCCTTCCTTAATCTTTCAAAAACCTCCCATATATGGTCTAGGTGTTCTTCAAATGTTTTAGAAAAAATAATTAAGTCGTCAAGATAGACAATGACATATTTTTCTAGAATATCCCTAAAGATTTGGTCTATCAGCCTTTAAAAAGTAGCTGAAGCATTCGTGAGACCAAAAGGCATAACATTAAATTCGAATAAGTCCTGAGGAGATATAAAGACAGTTTTTGGCTTATCTTCTTTCAACATTCCAACTTGCCAGTATTTACTGGCAAGATCTAATGTAGTAAACCACAATACTCTGTTTAATGAATCCAAAAAGTCGTCTACCCTTGGTAAAGAGTAGTTATCTTTAATAGTTATAGCATTTAGTTTTTTATAGTCAATACAAAGGTGCATCTTTCGGGACTTCTGTTTTACCAGCACCACTGGGAAAGTCCAAGGGCTATTAGAGAGTCTTATTATATTTTCAGCCAGCATAGCCTCTATCTCTTTTTTTAAGAATTCTTTTTCGGCAAGTGAATAACGGTATAGACATTGTTTAATAGGCCAAATATTGTGGATAGGGATTTTATGTTGAATAATATTACTCCTTCCCAACTCATTAAGACTTTAAGCACCTAGGTTTTCATATTCATCTAATAATAACCGAAGTTGGTTTTGCTGAGTCATTTCTATATCTCTTATGTTGTAAGCTGTACCTATCTGAACCTCATTCTCATAATAATAATCGAAGAGGTCAGACATTGGCAAAATTTCTTCACAGTGGTGACATAGGGCTACTGGCCATAATCTCAGAAATTCTTTCTTTTCTTCTTTGCTTTTGTCTGTTAGAGTTATAGTTCCTCCTTCTACAGTCCATAACAATTCTCCTTCTTTGTAAAGAGTCCATCTACAAACCTTTTCTTCATCTCTTTCTATTATTTCATCTTCTTCTAGCATTTCTTCAGCCTCTATTTCTGAATATACAAATATTCGTTTTTCCAAATCTTCTTCTTCATATTCTTCGTTATAGTCTTCCTCTTCTTCCTTTTCTCTAATTTCTTTTACTTTAACCAATCGTTCTCCTTCTATGGGCATTTTCGATAATCTTCGAAATTCAACTGGAATTATAATTTCTTTATTGTCCTATATAATAGTCATTCCAATCAATAGAGGCATTTGCTTTAGCTAACTAATCATTACCAATGATAGTGCTATACACAGTTGCATCAGTTACAATAATATCGATGGGAATTTCAACTTCTCCCACACAAAAGAGAAAATCAAAAATTTCTCCTATGCCCTCTTGCTTTCTCTATGAATGTTAACCATGCTTACTACAGAGAGTTTTTCAACTTTAATCCCCAGCTGATGTAATAGAGTAGAGGTGACGACATTTCCCAAAGATCTACTATCTACTATTAGTAGAATCTTCTTTTCGAATACTGTGGCATCACAATATAAGGTTGTAGACTTGGATGTGGGCTGAATATTAACATTGTCTTGGGCTTTCTTTCGACTAATAACTCTCTTCTTTTGCAAGGAACGAGTTAAGTCTTGCCTCATATTTGGAGAAGCTCTCAATAATTGCCCATAAGTAATATTGGTGGGCTTATTCCTTATATCAGCTACTATAGAATAAGGGGTAACTAGGGAAGAGATTTGAGGCAGCTCTTCTTCTAAAACCTTACACCTTGCTACTGTGTTTTGTTTAGTTTTTTTACCTGATTTTTCTTGTTAAGCAATCTTAGGTTTATCTGGTTTTTTATGTTGTAATTCCTGTTCTTCTTCTGCTTGTAGCATTTCTTTATCAATGGGGGATACCTTCAGTTTCTGCCAATCTGGTAGAAGAGTTTTGAATTGTAGTATCTTTCTTTCTTCGTAGATTTGGGGTATTACTGATAGGCCTACGTCGTCCATGTCGATCAGCTGGAAGAAATAAAAATTAATGGTCTTCCGGTATTCCTAAAAATGAGAGCTGATCCTGAGAATTGCCCGAGTTATTATTATTTATTAAAGCCAATAAGGCCTGAAGAGTATCTTGTGAATTAACACCATTTACTGTTAGGGTTGCCTGGACAGAAGTGGTTGGTATTGGAGTTGTTTGGGGCGTAGGCATCTGAATTGGGGGCCCATTATTATTAGGGGCCAATAAATTAGGACACTAGTAAACTATATAGCCAGGGTATTCACAATTATAACATACAATCTTTTGAGGTTTGTTATTTAGAACACCAGGTTGTTGAGGTCAGAAAGATCTCCTTGGCTCTTGCCATTGTGTCAGTCTTGTTTACGTTAGACGTTGTAGTTGTTATTGTCTCCAACATACCAGGAAGGGCAAATAAAGGGTGTTCTACAGGTTGACCCAGGAGAGCTGTATACATAGGGCTGCTCTTGTAGGCATTTTCAAATATTTTTGCACGAGTGCAGGCTTCCTCCAAAGTGTTAGAAGTTAATGAAGACACCAAGATATAAAGTTCCAGATGTAGCCCATTAATAAACATCTAGGCTTTAGCTGTATCTGGATATTGATGTTCTCCTGACTCCACTTGTCGGATCATTTCTTCAATTGCAGTATGGTAATTGTTCATGCTTTCTCCGGGTAGTTGTTTTCTTTGTATTAACTGCGCAAACTACTTTCCTTCTAATTCTGGTGTTCGGAATTTGGTTATAAAATGAACAACAAAACTCTGGTGGGGTACCAAGAGATAATGCCATCTGTCAAAAATTGGTATCTGATTTCTTCGGTTTATCCACCACATCGCAGCCGGTCCTTTCAGCTTTGGTACAATTACTAAAATCTTCTGTAGTGGTGTTACTAAATTAGCTTCAAAAGCTTTTTCTACGTCCTTTAACCAGGTTATTGGGTCTTGGTCTTCTCCATGGAACTCCAGATATTGTATCATATTAAGTTCTCTAGGGTTCATTAGAAAATTAAATTTTAGTTGTGGAGCAGCTTGCATTTGTTGGCTAGATTGGCAATTTGATGCGCCAGGTTGTGCAAAGGGTTATTTAGATTGAAAGCGGGCTGCTGTGAGGTTGGGGTTGTTGTGGAGATTGGGCTATTTTGTATTTAATTTCAAGTATTTTTGATTAAAATCTTTCTATTTTGTTTGTTTAATCTACACAATTGGTACCAAATGTTACTATTAATTTGGGAGAGCGGTTGAGTTAGCAGTTTGATTTAGCTCTAATAGTAAACTTAAAGAGCTTTTTATGTCTCCTTCTTCAAGCATTGGGCACATGAAATAAGTCATGATTTACATAGATCTGGGTCGGGTCCTTACTAAATCGGTCTCGATTTGGGTTATGCACATAATTTAAGGATATACTTAAAGGGTAAAATTGGGCTGATATGAATATTAAGGTAAATATGAAACAATGAAAAAGTCTATACTAGGAAATTGGGCGAATAACCATATGATAATACATACTATCACTTGGGTTTAACAATGGTGGTTATCTTAAGATATTAGGCTAACAATTAGGTAGCATTTAAACTATTTCTAGAGTACTTCACAATATGAAAAAAATAAAAAAAAATAAATAAGGTAAAAAAAAAAAAAGGGTTCAATGTTTGATAAACAGTTTTTCTAAT